GTATCAAAGATCTTATAAACACAAGATAGCGTTCTCCGCGATTTACGCGTGCAAATTCTGTAATAAGGCATGAATGGCGCCCTCTTGCTAAATTGGAAACTTTTGCCCTTTGACCGCTATGACCATACCGTACTGTGAACAGCAGAACAGGAACCATCTCAAATCCATGGCAACAGATAGGACGCCCTCTTCCAAAACTGATTACTTTTTCTCTTTGGGTCTCTTATACACATCTAAAGCACATAAGTTGTCATGAATGACGCCCTCTTGCTAAATTGGAAACTTTTGAACCTTGACCGACGCTTCTATTTGTTACGCGTAAATCGCGGAGAACGCTATCTTGTGTTTATAAGATCTTTGATTGTGTGCATACAAAATCAGGGCAGTCCGACCTCTTGCAATTCTATACTCTTTGAATGAATAAAATAATCCTAATTTGTGGGAGAGGGTATCCGGTTACCTATCATCCTTCATAGGAAGTAATAAAGAAGACTCTGGTGGAAAAAGTTGTCGCATAGTTAATATGTTGATTCCCTTCTTAAAAGTCATTTTCATCCTCAATTATTTTTGTGCTCGCTGATTACCCTTTTCCCTCATGCGTCCTGCCATAATGTTGTTATTATTATTATTATTATTATTATTATTATTATTATTATTATTATTATTATTATTGTTATTGTTATTATTATTATTATTATTATTATTATTATTATTATTATTATTATTATTATTATTTTAACTGCTACAATAATTGACGTGATAATCACTGAGGCATTTCCCCTTCCTGAAGGTGCTGGCAATTGTGGGCGATCCCAAATTTAAAAATTCAAATGTTGATGTGTTTACTATGTATTCTGTGCGTGTATGTTTTGTATGTTTGGTATTCAAACTGACAAGCCACCGCTTCTTTTGATGCCTATGTAAATAATTTGAAATCTGTAATTTGTTGTGGATTTTTTTCTGAATAAAAAAAAATGTAAATATAAATTCTGTACTAAAGTTGACAGTATTGTGAGGTATGTAGCCAATAGACCTTTCCGGAGTGTCAATCAAACTTATCAACTGACTAATCAGAACAGCGCTAGGGATACGCGTGCGTCTCACAAACACACGTGTTGTCCCACAAACGCACGTGTTCGCGTATGTTTTAACACTATTGTCGTCTTGTGGGACCTTAGCAACAATATCAAAGGGGCGGGGCTTAGCGGAAAGGTCCATTGGGATTATTAACACCAGATAGCGAGCATGAAAGCATTTTTTTTTTGTGTAAATTCCTTAGCTTTCCACTTTCATTTCAAATCTTGCATTATTCTATTATTTTTCATCCCAGTTATCTCCTTTGTGGTAACGACGTCAATGTATTTTAGGCCTAGGCATAATTTACATAATTGATGTGTTTGTGATAAATATTCATAATGTAATTATTGATGAAATGATATTTATTAATTATAATCATATTCTTGCAGGCCTGTGTGAAGATCACAATGAAGAGTGTAGTAAGTATATTGCATAAACCAGTTAGTTGTTAAAAATAGAACTTTTAATTTGGTAGGTGACCATTCTCAACGAACATAGGGCCCAAAACCTTCGTAGAGTTAAGACAATAATACAATTCACATATTAATATGCATTACTGTGCCTGAAGTCTTAGTTATTACCGTCGGCTGGAATGAAATATTATATAGGCCTATCTATCAAAAAAGTAAATTCACTTTTTGTCAACGAACTAGTTGACGTCAGCAAACCTCTAAAACGACACTAAACTTATGATCTTGTTTACAGTTCCATGATCTTCTGACTGCAAAGCAGCGTTTAGTAGAATTTTTTAACATTAGGAAAAATGTTACCTACAGTATTTTGGTAACGATATCACTTCGTAAAGAGGCTAATATATTGTGCTTGTTATTTATTTTTCCAGTTTGCAACCAGAAATGTCATAATTGTGGAACTTTAAATACTACTTCGTGTCGTTGTGACTGCCAACCAGGTTTCATGTTGGACGACTGTTCAGGTAATTCTTGCAAATACCTCATTAAAGAATGATGTAATGTTACTAGACAGCGTTTATGATAAAATAATAAAAACACAACCAAGCGCATCTGATGTACCGTAGACTTCTTGAAAGTACTGTATACACATCACAGGAATGTTTATTTCGAAATATATTATTTTTATTTGTTCTCTGTTTTAGCAATTTTTTCATGTTGTCTTGTAGGGCCATATTAGACCATAAGATTGATTAATTAAGCCTTTGAAACCTCTAAATTGTGATTTTTTTCGGGGTTACCACGTGGACCACTTTTGAAGCATTGTGATAGACGCCCGGCGACGCCCACTCTGCTCTTGTCCTGACCTCGGACCCCCTGTCGAGTAAATCCTAGCATCACCCCTGTCTGACCATAGAACAAATATGACCAGAGTTATTTAAAAGTTGTTAACTTCGATATTTGGCTCATAAATAAACATAGGCCTAGATTATCAAAATTGCCTCTGTAATATTTACATGATCATTTTATCTAGAAGGCTTCTTTATTTTAACAGCTGAATGCGGAGACACACATACAATGTGTAATGTTGGCTGGTTTCGTGGACAGTGTAGTGGTTACGAATACGTCCGAGAAGGATGTCGATTAATGTGCAACCTTTGCTGTAAGTTTATTTATTTATTTATTTACATTTATTTACCCAGGGTAGCCCAAACAGTTAAAACATTGATTTCCATTGGGGCCCTGCATTTAAAGCACATGGTCGTAACCGGTTATAATTTCTTTATTAGTTCCTCGTACAATTTGTATTTAAATATGTTTAGAGAAGCCGCAGTTCTCAATTTAATATCTAAGTCATTTCATATATTCGCCCCGGTCACCTTAAAACTCGTGGAATAACTTTCGCTTTTCGAAAAGGGAACCTTCAACTTAATAGTTCAACATAATAGTTGACTGTCTCGTTTCACGAGCTTGCAATAACGGTGTGAAAAGGTTTGTCATGTATAAAGGTGTCAATCGGTTTTAATACATTTATAAACAAGTATAGCTTTTTTATACGTAACCCTTCTAGAAAACGAAAGCCAACTGAGTTGTGAAAACAAATCTGCAGATGGGATAAGAAAATCACATTTTAAAACTATCCTAGCTGCTCTTTTTATAAATGCTTTTTTATATTTTGCCTTCTAAAGCTCCGGTGCCGGAAGACTTCGTATGTGGTACGTGACGCTACAAGTTACATTTGTTGTACGTTATAGGCCTAGTAGTAATACTACTAGTAGAGGTGAAATCATCGACATGATGATGGTCAGGATGAGAGTTGTAATGATGGTGATGAATAATTATGATAAAGATGACAGTGATACTATTATCATTATTATTATTATTATCATTATCATCATCATTATTATTATTATTATATTATATTATTTGTATTATTATTTTTATCATTATATTATTGTTATTATTATTATTATATTATTTACATTATTATTTATATTATTATTATTATTATTATTATTATTATTATTATTATTATTATTATTATTATTATTATTATTATTATTATTATTATTATTATTATTATTATTGGTAGTAGCAGCACCAGCAGTAGGCGTAGTATTAGTAGTATCATTATCAGTAGCAGTATCTGTATCATTACATTTAACAGATAATATTGTTGAAGAAGACCATTCAATGATAGAACCAACATCACCATCAGGAGGTAACTTACGCGTAATGCAATTTTGTATCGTCATTGTCTGTAGTCTTTAAAAAAAAAACCAATATACGTTGTCTATTGCTTTAGAACTACTGGGAATATTATTGACTTAATGTTAATATTAAAATATGACGTAATTTCTACATATTTTGAATATTATTAAACGGGTAATTAAATTTTTTACGAACTAGCTACAGCTAGGCTAAGCAACAAAAAATACCGTGAAATGCATGAACATTTTCGCCCACAACTAATAATTTGCGCAATATAAATATATAAATTATTATTTTACAGATGATATTGTAGAAGTCGTTCCAACATCACCACCCGGAGGTAACTCATGCGCGCGTTTAAAATGCATTTGTATGGTCATTGTCTCAGACAATGTCCGTAGTCTTAGAAGCAACAATATACTTGGTCTAATGCTGTTGAACTACTGCAAATATAGACTTAACCATAATATAAAATGTTCTTAGATTTATGATTTGACATTTAGTTTCAACATTGGAGCTCTAATAACTCTTCAAGTTTTCAGGGAATTTCTACAAGTAAGTTACGTTAATTATAATAAAGCAAAGGAAAGTAAGTTAAGGTATCTGAGAACCAAGGGTAGTAATGTGTGGTATTAAGATATAATGCCTATTTGAATAACTAAATAAATCTTCTCGACGATGAGCTATTACCTTTATTTCACAGGTAAATATAGGCCTATTTGTTCAGTAAGTTATAGTCATATCAAGCATAGGCCTTTAACGAATAGGTCGCTTTTTCACTTGTATGAAAAAAAAGTATTGCTGGCAGATCTAACTACACACTTTCGCTCATACAACTGACTGAAACACTCATACATAGTAGAGCTATATGTAGCTTGCTAATGGAAATAAAATAATTAGGCCCATTATTTTTAACTGGTATTTGTATGTAGAGGACGGACAGAACCAGTGTGCAGAGGAGGAATGCCAAAATGGCGGGACATTTGATGTCAGCACATGCAAATGCGCATGCCCGAGTGGATACCAAGGCAATACCTGTGAAGGTTAGTAGGCCTACCCATGGAGAAAGAAATTCTTTCCTCTATGGCTTAACTATCTTTCTTCATAATCTAACCACCTATGTTTATCATGTTCATAAAAAAGACTAAAAATAGGCCTAAATTGCTAACATTTTTGACAACATTTTAACTTTCCCCGACGACCAGTAGGCATATTTGTAAGTATCAGTGGTTGAAGGTTGTTTATGGTTTTATCGTAAAATAAATAACATAAAATGAACGGATTCGATGTTTATTACGAAATTGATGTTGCTCTGAGGTGCCTTAGTGCATTAATATAGTGAAAATGAAGTTATGTTCAAGCCAGCTCCACCAATCAGCATCTCGGATTTGTGTAAAATCGTCGGTACAATATTTTCGGTGTATTCATTAGCATGGAGGCTACATCCCAATGATACTGCTCAGTATTAAAAATAGTTACAGTATTTACATTAAAAAAACAGCACTTGTAAAACACCCATTTTACACACTGAACGAATGTACCGTATATTAAATTACAGAAAATAAAGAACAAGTAAAGAACGGAGTACAAGTTACCATAGCCGCCTCAATTACAGTGGTGAGGATATTGATTATTTTCATTTGGAAATATAAAAGTCTGTTTTACTTGTAATATGATGTAGAAAATCGTATTGGAATTATATTTTTCTGAAAATACCGTATGGTTGTTTTGTTTTGATTTTGTATATACTCTCCATTTTGGAGGTAATTTTGAATAAAAATAATTAAAATTGATATCAATACATCCGATTCACCTGATTACTGGTGATTGGTCGGAACATATTTCCATATATGTCATAACGATTTTTATTTACATTGATTCGCCACAGTGGGATGGTATAAAATCAGCTTTATTGCAGTCTATCGCAGATATCCTTGACGAATTTTGCAATACTCCAACCAACTACGGCCTTTGCTGCCCAAGTAGTGGAAACAGAATCGGGTACGTGTGTGAGATTTCCTTTTTCATAACTCCATGGTTTATTTCACTCTCCTTAACCAACGAGCAATAGTAACATATATATATTGATTGAGTTCCTAGTCCACACATCACCAGCGCATTGAGACTTCGGTATAATGCGCTATACCAAATCCCACTACATTACAT